AACATGAAATACAACTGGACATCTGACGTGTATGCATACCCCCATTCATTCCCTGGCATTGGTAACAAAATATATGTAAAAAATAATTTAAAGCACAAGGTCTTCAGCTTGTTTCTGTATGAGGTTTAGTTGAATGAACAAATTAGAGAGAATCTTTGATGAGAAATCATATAAAGCCAACAGTTTATCTTGATCCTTTAAGATTTCAGAAAGTGTCTCTTCAACAAAGAGACCCTTCATCCAGGTTTTCTACAATGAAATTCTCTGTACAAATAATTCTTCTGGTACCTTGCGTTTTGCTGAAAGAGAGAGAGAGTCCACTTGCAAGATCAAGAAAACAATATGACACAGAGTTACATATCCATCAGTCATATTCCTCATCTGTACTTTGTTATAATACGAGGCGTCGGCTTAGAAACTCAAACAGACCATGACGACGCCGACGTGCATCCATGGAGAAAAACAAACAAACAAACAAATAAATAAAAATGAATCGACCGGAAGAGAATTCCGAGCGAGCAACAAACCGCATCCGGCGTTTAAGCTTTCCTTCCCTTTAATCCCTCTTCCGTGACCAGAATACTGTACATATAAGGTGCGGGTTTTATTTTATTTTTTTGCTGCTCCCTTTTTAGCGATGCTTCCTCAGCAGTTTTTTCCCCTGTTTTTTTCTGAGAAAATGGAGAAGAGGTCAGCTGGAACGCACAGGAAAAAAACAACCAACCTTTTTTTCCTACTTGCGCGAAATTATGCGTTGAAATCCAACCCAGGGTTGCCAACCGTGGGATAATGAAGAAGGACTTTTTTCCCAATCTGCAGGGAATTTTCTCCAATATGTAAAGAGTAGCAATGAAGTATGATGCAGTATCTTTATCTGAAATTTTGGAAAGACAATATGACAGTTGAAATTATCTGAAGAAAAATAAAAGTTGGCTTTTCTTGTAAATAGGCAGCAGATACATTTTCACCTGCTGAAATGAATTATTTTAATTTTTCATGCTGAGAAACCTTTTTTCAAACCACCTTTATAATTTTTGAAGAGATTCCACAATACTGTAGCTGCTTTATTGGTTCTTAACTCAATTTTTGCAAAAGAGCAGAAACCTTTTAAATATACCTGCCATAAAGTATTTTAAACAAAACTTTTTTGAGTCTGCAATCATTTTATGAAACTTTGCTAGTACACAGAATTATGATCTGAAATTCAACCTAGGGCTGCCAACTGTGGGATAATGAAGGAGGACATTTTTTTGGCAATCTGCAGGGAATTTTCTTCAGCATAATCAAGGTAAAAAGTAGCAATTAATTATGTTGCACTATCTCTATCTGAAATTTTGGAAAGACAATGGCAGTTGAAATTATCTGATGAAAAATAAAAGTTGGCTTTTCTTGTAATAAGGCAGCAGATAATTTTTCATACTGAGAAACCTTTCTTCAAACTACCTTTCTAATTTTATGAAGACTATTGACACTATAGCTGCTTTATCTGTTCTTAACTCAATTTTTGAAAAGAGCAGAAACCTTTTAAATATACCTGGCATAAAATATTTTAAACAAAACTTTGTTGAGTCTGCAAAAATTTTATGAAACTTATTTGCTAGTCCACAGAAATTTGTTTTTGTGGAAATTTGCCTGTATACATGGACCCAAAAAGGTTTGGGAACACTGCTTTACAATATTCAAGGTTGGAAACCATCTGTTGGGGAATTGTGCCAAATGTGTTAATTGAGATACGATTGATGCACGTTTACAATTTTGAACATGGTAAAATTATCATTGTTTTCAGTATGGTCATTATTTTCAGCTGACAATATATGCTGGTCATTTTGACAGAGATTACATAGCACCTGGTGAACTTGTATTTATTTATTTTAGGGATTCTCTCGGAAGTGGATCACATGGCGAACCTGGGTGTTGAGACGATTTGGCTGTCACCGGTATACAGGTCACCCATGGCGGATTTCGGCTACGACATCTCCGACTTCCGGGACGTTGACCCGATCTTCGGAACACTGGATGACCTCAGAGACCTGCTCGATGCAGTTCACGAACGAGGCGAGCCGATTTATTATTCCCGTTATTCTTAAATTCATTCGATTCTCTTACGTTACTGCGGATATGTTGGGGTTCCTATATATAAATAAAATTGGTTTTTCTTTAATCGAATGACATAAAAAAAAATTAGCCGCATTCCCTCGGAACTTGAAATAACGTCTTTTATAATAAAATTAAATCAGAGGGATAAAATAATTTTTCCTTGAACCATCTTCGAGTATAGGATGTTATTCCAAAAAATTAAGAACAATTCATCTTCACAGCTAGTGTTTATACCCGAGAAATTACTCAAGGGTTTTTTGGGGAATCGTTTACTTCTGTTTAAAATATGAACATAAGTCTTGAATTATTCTTTTAAAATCTCGTTACAACAAAGCCATTGGGACAAGTAAAATAGCTTCATTTTAACGAAAAAAATAATAATTATGATTCGAACTCAATTGACATGTCAGCTGTTGGACAGGGTGACAGCTTGGGACCAAAAAAACGGATTCTTTGTAATCGATTACTTGTTATAAAGAGATTCGTTGTAACGAAATTCTACTCTAAAATTGGAATGACTGAATTATCGAAAGCTTTTTGAAGAGCAGAGGTGTGGCTTTTCTGATTTTGAAAAGATAAAAAAAAAACTGCGTGAAGATCAGCGGAAAAATATTCAAGTAAGAATCGAAATTTACTTCCGGAAATTTTTTGTTGTTGGAATTTTCATCAGCACCGTGGTTTAGTGAAAGTAAAATAAGTGTTGCACATTTTATTACTCAGTACAAATTTTCTTTGTCAATATTTGACAGCGTGACATGACAGTATAGTACACTATAGTATTTTTATCGGTTTTCATTTAATTTTTCATATTTTAAAATAAAACATTCAAGGTATGCGACTGTTGATGGACCTGGTGCCAAATCATTCCAGTGACGAACACGAATGGTTTGTGAAAAGTGTGCAAAGAATCGACCCTTACACGGATTACTACGTTTGGGTGGATCCAAAAGGATTTGATGACAATGGGGATCCGATCCCACCATCAAATTGGGTCAGTTATTTTCCAATTGATGCCTGTTTTTCTGCAAAGTATTCTCGCAGTATGATCTTTGGATGAAAATGCCTGATAAATTTTGACCCAATTTTCGAATTTTGAATTTCAACTGAAATCAGTAGCGCATTAATTACTCTTAATTGTCTCCAGTATTAAACATATGCTATCAGTGAGACCCCAATATGCAAACATAATTGGCGCATCAAGAGTGTCCCAAATTCAAAATGTCCCTAAGGCAAGTCTTTTTTTCCTTAGACTTACATTTAAAATATTTTTAATTGGTGTTTCTAGGGAAGAAATATTCATCAGAATTAAATGGAAAAAATGGTCTGCAAATTAAAACTGATTCAATCAAAGTCTTTCTACTCAATAAGGACATTTGGAACATTAATTACCATACCTGGGATACCTCTGTACAATAAAGTACAGTACATTAAAATGCAAAATAAATAAAATGCAATTCAAAAATAGAGGAAAAAGTTTCTCTATTCTGGAGGTAATTTTTTACACTTAGCTAAATGGATAATGAAATGGTTCAAGAAGTGCCAAAGAACTTTTCTTGAATAAATCTTAAGGTTGGGAATATCTGTTTCTTGTAATTTGGCCTGAAACTTGTCCACAATTTTAGCACGCAATTTTTGAATGCTGAGCCAGTGTCCACATGTTAGGGCTTTTTATGCAAATTTTTTTTACAGGAAAATAAGTGTCCATATGTTGAATTGTCAACATTTCAAGATATCTGCATGTGGGGGTCTCATTGCATTTTAATGCAGAGCTGGTGAAACCATTTATTTAAAAAATTACGTCATGATTATGAGCAGAATTTTTTTTAGCATGAAAAAGCAGCAAGCATGTATTTAAAATAGCATATGATAAATTATATAACGTTTTTTACTGTTTTTATTTATGGACATCATTTTTTTGTTTTCTTGTGCATGATCAGTTGAGCATCTTTAGATTCTCAGCTTGGCAATGGAATGAGGAAAGACAGCAGTTTTACTTGCACCAATACCATCCAAAACAACCGGATTTCAACTATTATAATGAGCTGGTCATGCAAGAAATGCTGGTAAGTTTCTTGCTGCTGGTGAAGGAACCCAATGACCAAATCCTACTTTATACATTTACTTGCACCAATACCATCCAAAACAACCGGATTTCAACTATTATAATGAGCTGGTCATGCAAGAAATGCTGGTAAGTTTCTTGCTGCTGGTGAAGGAACCCAATGACCAAATCCTACTTTATACTGAAACCTCACAAGTTCGGGTTTTAAAATTGGTCTCGTCGTCTGGAGCTCATTAGCAAATCACATTTCAGTTGATTTTATTTTTTTCTTAACCTGGGAAGATATAATATACGGTATTATATTTCTGAATTTCCGGCATTTGCCGAGTTGAGACTGGAGACCGAATTTCTCAGCACAGCGGAGTGCTGGCAAAAATTAAAAAGTTTTTGTCCCACGCAAAATGTTTTAGCATCATGGTGTAATATTCCAATTACCTTTTTCTTCTAAAAATTTAATTAGTGTAGTTGTACTTGTTAATATTCTATGCACTAGGTTTTTTTAAAAGATCAGAAAAGCAAAAATTTTAAAACAAGTATAATTTAAACAGTACATTTTTAACCCTTACAAGTCAAGTCTCAATTAATCAAAACCTCCAAAATTTAAATTTTCTCTCAATCCCTAGCCAATTCCTTCAATACCTTAAAATTCGACTTAGAGAGGTTCAGCTTTATGCATTCAAATTTTAAATTACTTTTTGTCATGATTTAAAACCGATTTAAAAACTTATGAGATGAACAACTTCTGTTTTAGTCTAATTTTAATAAAAGAACTACGAGAAATGTTCTCTTATTAGTAAAAGTACGTCGTCAAATTTTTACATATCAATTACAACAGTTCTATGATGATTTGGTTAGGAAATAATTTTAGATGATTAATCTGCCAACAAATAAAGAAAAAAATTCCTGAATTAATAAGCTCTTGATCAGAAAGTACGTCAACTTTTAGCTACTTTTTATTTGTCACGTTCACTAAACCGGTAGTCTATTAATAAAAGAACTCATAGGACATGGGTTTCATTTTTTATTTACTTATTTCGGCGGGCTTAGTTCCTTATCTCGGACAAGTTTGTTCCAGGATCCCCTCAAATCTGACCCAGAAAGCCTCAACTGTGAAATTTTTGTTTTGTTTGAAAATTCAGGACATAGTGGCATTTTGGCTTGAATTTGGAGTGGAAAATCAATGAAAAATAAACTGAGCAAATGATTTGGCCAGAAAATAATTTTGTTGAATACCTGCACCCAAAGTAAAAAATAAATAAATAAATTCCGCCCAAATCAGGGAATTCGTGGAGAAGTTTGTTCTAGGATCCCCTCAAATCTGACCCAGAAAGCCTCAACTTTGCATTTTTTTGTTTGTTTGAAAATTCAGGACATAGTGGCATTTTGGCTTGAATTTGGAGTGGAAAATAAATGAAAAATAAACAGAGCAAATAATTTGGCCAGAAAATAATTTCGTTGAGTATCCTATACCCAAAATATAGAAAAGAAAGCGCCCTGAAGTGGGAAATTCTTGAACAAGTTTCTCTGGAAATCCCCTCTAATCTGACCTATAGAAAGCTTCCACTGCTGTTGTGCTTTTTTTTTGTTGGTTTGGAAATGCAGGACATAGTGACCTTTTGGCTGGAATTCGGAGTGGACGGGTTCAGGTGCGACGCAGTGGCGCAAATCGGGGAAGTGAATGACTACTACTTGGATGAACCACTTTCGGGGAATCCCTGGGAAACAGACCCTGAAAATTATGGATACCTGCAACACATCTACACATCGAATCATCCCCAAACATTCCAAGTGCTGCGCAACATCAGGATGCGAATGGACGAATTCGTCGCGGAGACCGGAACCGAAACCAAGTTAGAAAAAAAAATATATATACTGTATATATATATTTATAAGCAAGGAGAATGTTCAAATTTCCAGTAACAATATACAGTATATATATATACCTGGGGAATGCTGACAAGCAGCAAATAAATCATATTTTTCAATCGACCAATAAACATACATGGGCTATTCTATTTTTTTAGATTCATGATTGCTGAAATTTACGAAAACATAACGACTTCGCTGTTGTACTACGGCACTGAGGAAGAGCCAATTGCACACTTGCCCTTCAATTTCCGCTTCGTCTTCGATGGGGAGCTGAACGGAGACGTGGTTCGTGGGATTGTGCAACCCTGGTTGGACGCGCTGCCGGATTGGAATCCTCACACCAACTGGGTGGTGAGCCTCAAATACTGTACTGTATAAAAATGTCCTTTTCTGTCTGTCTTTCCTCTTGGAATGTTGAACAGGTTTCTGGAGTTGTGAGGAAAAAGGTGTCTATAATAAGTGTGTAGACTGAGGGAAAATGAAGAAATCCATTGATGAATTATTCCAATTCAAAAAGCAAAGCAGGCTGCTGGATGTTGGGACACAAAATTTTACATACACGAGAATTATGACATCTTACCCCTCTGTAATGCTTGGAAACATTAATGCTGGGATCAACTTATGAGGCAGTGTTTTTCTTTGAAACTCATTTATTATAAAAATAAGTTCCAGGGTGTTCAGCCTCATACAAAGATACTGTATTAATAAATATTGCCTGTTGTCTGTCCTGTTGGAATGTCCCCATTCTGTATACATGAACAGGTTGAAATTGGAAGGAGGGAAAATCATCTGATGCTTGAACTGAGTAAGATTTAAAAAATTTAATGCAGATTTTCCAAGTTTTTAAATAAATACGGTATAGTGCAGATTTTGGTACAATATTCAGTCTAAAATTATAAAAATGCAATGAGCAGGAAAATCTCTCATTAAACTGAGAAGAATTCGTTCAACATGCTATTGAAGGTGATGCATGTACAATATTTTTTGAAGATTTTTTTCTCATTAAATTGTGGAAAATCTAAATTAACGTTCCCGAAAAATTAAAATTTTTCATAAAGTGTGGACACCGAAAGACTCAATATACCGTGTTTTTTAATTATATTTTTCGGCCATTTTGCAAAACATATGTACTGTATATATATTATTCTTTCCAGTTATTGAAAATAGTGTACTATACTGTACATGCATACGCACGTATGCAGTATATATGTGACACTTATTTCCAGGCATAAAAAAACTCGAGGACTTTCCAGAAATAATAACGTACCCACAGCAGCAGCAGTGTGAAAAGTGTGATGGATTGTGATTTAAATACAACCTCATCAACACTAAACACAAACCTTCGTCTATTTTATATACATCTTCGCAACATCAGTTATCTCGACGAGATGCATACAATTTTCACAAAGGCGAAGTCCAAGGTCTCTATATATAATGGTTATATTCATATCAGACGTATTTTCCCATTAATCAAAATTGATCCTCGAATATAGCAATCTTTGATTTAAACAATCTATCTTTCTTATAGAGCCTGATAATGACAGGCCTTCAGGAATAAGTTGAGGCATTTCTCGTATGAAATTCTGCGAATTCAGTATTTACGGTATGCCAATGCAGTAATTTGATTCCACAGGAATTAACTTCTCGGCTATACTGTACATGATAATTTAAATTTAATCCTGATGATGGATTCCCTTCATCAGTTCCACTACTAATGCCCTAATAAGTAATTATACAGATATTTTTATACAGAACCACCTTGAAAAACTACGTAAAAAAGGCCAATAAATAAATAATAAGACACGATATAAAAAAGACAGTTTAAATTAAAACTTTTAGTCTTCGGAGTTACTATACGTCGTGAACTTTACACGTAAATTGGAAATTTAAACAATAACATGAATTTAATTTTATTTGATTTCTCTCATATATTATTTCAGAATAAATAATGAGAGCTTCAGGTACTGCACTTGATTCATTCAAGTGCTGGGGATTCCATGACACAAAAGGGTATTATTCAAGTACTGCAACGGAAAACCATTAAGAAATGCTGATTGGTTCCAAAGCCACAAAAATTTGCTTAACTGAGTGGTTTAAGATATGCAGAATGTTTTTTATTATTATTTCAAAGCCATTTCAAGCTCCTTATTTATGGTTCATTTTATGATTTCACATTTATATTTATATTTATAAATTGATACTGTTTTGGCATAAAATGATGTGTAATGAAGAACCAGCAGAAACAACAAATCATGTGGGAAACTGTCCAACAAATCATGTGGGAAAATGTCCAACAAATCATGTGGGAAAATGTCCAACAAATCATGTGGGAAAATGTCCAACATATCAATTTGGAAATATTGTACAGTGCTGTATATGAAAAACTTGCATTCAATTGAAACTTTTTTGCTAGGGAAATATCTTATTGCAGCAACTACAATTTCTTTGAAGGAGTATCACTTTTAAAATTGTAATGCAGTCTATTATTCAAGTTAGAGTCCACTATAAAAAGCAAAATTATGTGGGACATGTATATATAGGGATCACATTACATTTTAAGTTTGAGATTCTGATCTATCTTAGAACAAGGATTGTTTCTGTCAGGAAACGGTACAAATCCAGTCACAAGGTTTTGGACACCAAGTGTCTGGTCGTGGTCAGGTGTTTTCAAAAAACGGTCAGGTTCCCTTTAAAAGTCGTATTATTTATGATCAAAAGTTGGGATGAAGTCTGTTCTCTTCCCATCAAATTTTGGAAGGACGATGATGAAAACACAAGTTGGCTTTTCTCCTTATAATACTTTGGACAACTTTTCATGTGCTGGAATAAATTAATTTATTTTTTTCAATTCTGAGAAACCTTTATCCAAACCCACCTTTCTAATTGTTTGATGACATTCTTAACTGAATTTTTATTTTAAATACCTGTCTGATAACATTTGGTGAGTCTGCAAAAATTTCATGAAACTTTGCCAGTCCACAGAAAATTTCTTGGAAATTTGACAGTCCAATTTTTTTTTATTTCCCGGTCCACAGGCTCAAAAAGGTTGGGAACACTGGTTTATGTCATAACTTTGCTTTTTTTGCACTACAAATATAGACAGGGAACCACGATAACAAGCATCGTGTGGCCAGCAGATTTGGGCGATCTTGTTCCTAACAAAGACAGTCCTTTGCCATGTTTAGGTCAGTGTTCCAAAACCTGTGGTTCACAGACCAGCACCAGTCCACAAAAGTTTTTTGCCAGTCCAAGGGAAATTTTCAGCATAATAAATGTATCAAAAGTTAGGATGAAGTCTGTTCTCTTCCCCTCAAATTTTGGAAGGACGATGGCAGTTGAATTATCTAATGAAAACACAAGTTGGCTTTTCTCCTTATAATACTTTGGATAACTTTTCATGTGCTGGAATAAATTAATTTATTTATTTTTTATTCTGAGAAACCTTTATCCAAACCCACCTTTCTAATTGTTTGATGACATTCTTAACTGAATTTTTCTTTTAAATACCTGCCTATAATAACATTCAAGCTACACTTTGGTGAGTCTGCAAAAATTTCATGAAACTTTGCCAGTCCACAGAAAATTTCTTGGAAATTTGACAGTCCAATTTTTTTTATTTCCCGGTCCACAGGCTCAAAAAGGTTGGGAACACTGGTTTATGTCATAACTTTGCTTTTTTTGCACTACAAATATAGACAGGGAACCACGATAACAAGCATCGTGTGGCCAGCAGATTTGGGCGCCACAACATGGACATCATGAACATGCTCTTGCATTTGCTTCCAGGCACATCGGTCACTTATTATGGAGAAGAGATTGGGATGGAGGTAAAGGACATTTTGGTTGTTTCATCCCAGATAAAAATCTCCAAGGAACTCTTGATTATTTTTTGTCCCAGAAAATTTTCAAAAATACGGTAACTACATAAAATGTGGTTCTATTTTACCGTAATTTTTTTACCACAATTTTTTATCGCCCGATCAGAAAAATCTCAAGAAAAATAAACAAATTTTCCCTGTAGAATATCACAGCAAATTAACCTCACAAAAATTTTCTCTGGTGAAAAAAATAGTGCACAGGATATTAATGAAATAGTCTTAAAATTCAGAGAGTCTTTTAGATCATCGCTTTTGGCGCTTCAGTCAGCTTTCAGCAGATATATTATTCAGAATATTGATTCAGAATTCCCCCCTCTGAAAGACAGGAAAATTTGAGAGCAAAGTTTATAAATTCTAAAAAGTTCAGACAAAATTTGTGGATAAACTATGCAAAAATTTATTTTTAAATGAATCTGAAAATTCAGTATAATACTGTAGTACAGTGAGACCCCAAGATGCGGACATAATTGGTGCATCAAGAGTGTCCGTAAGTCGAAATGTCCCTAAGTCAAGTCTCATTTTCCCTTAGACTTAAACTATATAATTTTTAATTGGTGTTTCATGTACAAAATGCTCACCCTAATTCCATGAAAATAAAAATTGTCTCCCAATTTAAACTGATTCAATCAATGTATTTCAACACAATATGAAGCTTTGGGGAATTGAATACTGATACCTCATCAGTACAGTACATAGAAGTGTTGGCATTTTCTGTAAAAATATAATTCAAGTGAAAAAGAGAGAAGGAATAATTATCTACATTGGAGGTAATTATTTTAAATTAGCTAAATAGATGGTAAATTGGCGAGAGAAATGCCCAAGAACTTTTCTTACATCAATTTTAGGGTTTGAAACATCTGTTTCATGTAAATTTGCTTGAAATTTATTTTCAATTTTATCGCGAAATGTCCCTATGTTGAGTCAATGTCCTTATGCCGGGACTTTTTTGTGATTTTTTAATGGTAAAATAAGTGTCCCTAGGTCGAATTGTCCACAGGTAGAGGCGTCCGCATGTGGGGGTCTCACTGTATTTTATACTGTATAATAGATAAGTTTGTTTCTTCCAGAACTTTTGAAAATTTGGGAATTTACATGATTTGTCATATGGCTGTGGTTATATTTACATGATTAAAGGTGATAATTTGTTGTACTGAATCATTCATTGCAGTAAATAGGACACAGTTTGTTATAAAAGAATGCTCCTGTAATCTTTCAATCAAATCATGTGACAATATTTCTTTTGTTACAAGGAATTATTCATGATAACATATCTTGTTGTAAATGAACATTCTCTGCAATGAAATACAGAAAATAATCAGGTTACAGCTTTTTATTGGTTTGCATAGTGTGATTGAACAGTATAGAGTATGTGTTGCACATTTTGCAGTGTTTTCTTCTGCTCTTGATGTGAACCATATGATTGCAGGATACGTTCATTACCTGGGAACAAACCCAGGATCCATGGGGCTGCAACTTTGGACCGGATAATTACATAATTTCTTCCAGGGACCCAGTCAGGACACCCATGCAATGGAGTGGCGAAGTCAATGCAGGTAATATACCACGAAATTTTAAATTAAACAATTATTTTTGAAAATTTCCCATTAAATATCCAACTGAGATTCATTGACATGGTTCTTCATTGGTTCATTCATCATCATGTACCTCAGAATCATCACGATTTAGGAATTTTGCTCCCATTCTCTTAGTCTTTGAAAGGAGCCTTTACTACAGTACAGTGGCCCCCCGCCTAACAGACCTCCCGTGTAAGGGATTTTTGCCAAACAGACCAGCTCTGCAAGCAGTTTTTCCTCCCACCCAACAGACAAAATCCGCCAAACAGACTTCTTTTGGTTTAAAATTAGTGTTGAAAATTGGAATTTGTAATTTTTTATGTAATTGAATTTGTGTAAAGGACTTTTTGTCTAACAGACTCATCCCTTGCACAAATCAAGTCCATGAGATGGGGGTTGACTGTATTGCATTAACTATATTGTACATTTAAAGCTCACCATTGACCCGAGGGTCATTTTTCGTATGTCTGTGCATGTAAATATTTGGTACTGTCCTCAAAAAAAAAACAAAAACGTTTTAACGCTCTTTTTTTCGGAAAAACGACCTTCTCATATTTGGTCACGTTTGACACGAAAGTATAATGTGGTGCAGTGTACGAAAATGTCTCTTCCCGAAATGGAACACCTTTCACATTCGTTATCACTTATAACTGGGCTTAATTATTGACCGACACCGAGAGAGGCTCTTTTAAATGGCACATTAAATTGCAGTACGCCCCATGTTCGAGTCATAAAAACCTGGGCACCCAGAGAGAAAAAAAGCTGCGCAGTTCCCAGACTTTCAAAAGAAAATAAAAATATGTAATTAGAGACGGGACCGAATATAAATTGCCGTAATTCCGAGGCATAAAAAATCACAGGAAAGTATCAAGTACCTGAAAGAAGTGGCAGGAGACATAAAACCCCTGGTAAGACTGCTGATAATAAAAGGCAAATGAATACTACGGAGGTTCACCATGACCAAAGGTACAATTTACATTAAAGGGTTTCCAAAAATGGAATGAAACTGGTTAATCATTGTAACTAGATAATGCTCCCAAAAATAAACTACGGGTTCTGCTGATGGAAAAATTACTTACTGTGTATACACTTGAAGGAAAGGAACCTAATGGGCTTGTGTAAATAAAAGTTTTAGATGCTTATAATATTGAGGGTTTTGTAGATGAAAACACCTTTTGTTGCTTTTTCAGTAAGGGGTTTCAATAATGACCATGCATGAAAAAACTGGATGCTGAGTAAAACTGAAAAAGTTTTTCCCAGCACATTTTCAATCCTTGAAGTTGTCTTTCATTAGGGAACATAAATTTAAAAAAAAAGCTTGCATTACTGGTGGTACATTGCAATTCAAACTCCCACAATCCAACCATCCTGCAATCCAATAGTAAAATTTGCTAGGAGGTTGACTCTCAATTTGACCCACAGAGAGGCATGAAACATCAAATGCCATGTATAAAACATGCCAATTTAAGTTGTCTTGCAATTCAACTGCTTTGAAATTTGACCCCAGTCCAGCAATGGATTAGGGTCAAATTGTGAGGTACCACTTGTATTCATAATTTTTAAAGAATTTCAATTTGAATAAACTTGTCTCCTTGCCTTGACCACCATGTTTACACCATAAGAGTAGTTTTCCAACCTCAAATAAAAATGCTGTACTGTAGCAGATCAGGCACATCACTCTCCAAACAACATTTTTGTTTACAAAAATTTTTTCTCTGTAAGTATACCATTTTTTTCCTGTTGGGGTCTCCAGGAACCTTTCTATATAGAGAGAGGTTCTCTAAAATCTAAATAGTCTTCAAAAAATGTTCTCTGGTTCCCTGAATTTTGTTCATAAGCAGAGTCCACATATGTAAGAACCTTGGGGAAAAATAAGAACCAAACGCACTTTCAAACAGTTCAAATCGCAATTTCATGTCCTCTGATGTTCAGATGTTCATCTCTTCAAGCTCTTGGAATAATGTTTGAAAATTGGATGACAAATTATTTTGTGACCACTCTGTCGAATCAGTCTTCAGAGTTTTCCATGAGTGCAAGGATCAGATCCCATTTTGCACCATGCACAGTACCACCTGGCCTCGAGGGGGAGTTATTGGCGAATAAAGGGAGTTGTTTGTTGGTTAATGGCCGGATGAGTGAGTTGTGGGGGAGAACCTGTGGAGATAGGAGGTAAGAGAGTGAGGAAGAAAGAAGAGGGATAGAGAGAAACATGGAATGAAGGAAAGGAATTGGGAGAGGAAAGAGATGCTGGCAGGAAGAGAGTGAGCAAAAGGAGAGAGAAGGAGCTTTGATGCTATGGGGAAAAAGGCACCACCAGGAGCATTGGGGTCGCATGTGTACAAAACAAGGTCATCCACATCACACAACCCTCTAAAATGGGGTTCTCTTGTGTTCCCCCTAAATATTGAAAATAAAAACTTGTTCCACGTTAAAGCAAGTCTCCTTCCTCATGAAACCCCCCCCTCTTAAATTAGATTGTATATCTTGTTATGGCTCAGTTAACAATGCCCAGAAGCTCTCTCTCTCTCAGTTACTAATTACATCAATAAAGAATGAAATTGGACATTTTTTAATAGAAATAGATATCAGGAAATTACTCGGTCTAACATACAGTATTTTTCAAAAAATGGACCATGGACTCCTTATTTCTCTGTAAATTACAGTACAGACCAATTGATGGGAAGAAATTACTAAATTTCAACATCCTGATGGGGAAAAAATGCATGTCCAGGTTGAACTTCTCTGTAAATCCATGTACAGGTATATTTGCAATTGCCTTCCATAAGCAGGTGAACCTCAATAACTCAAACCTCCCCAAGTCAATACCCGCTAAGTTGCATTTTTCAGGTCCTGGTCTGAAACCCCTTAGAAACCATACATTAAACATCTCCCTAAGTAAAATGATTTTTCCTTCAAACCTCAATAAGTTGCCTGTACGTTGGCTAGTATTTTCTTGTCACAAGAAAAAAAAAGCAATAAAAACATAAATTGATGCATTTTAAAAGGAAGTGAAAGACTTAATTGGACAAATGAACTCCTGCCTCCAAGTTCAGCATTCTTTCAACTCATTTAAGAAGCAATTTAAGCTCCAGAATATCACCATTTTCAATTTTGAGCAATTTTTCTACGTTTCCAAGAAAAAAAGTGCTATATGTACTTTAGCTCAAACCTGTATAATTTAGAACCTCTTTAAGTAAATTTTTTCACTGGTCCCTTGAAATTTGACTTAGAGAGGTTTGACTGAACAGTAAATTGAGAATGAAAAGAGCTCCAGCACAGACAAAAATGTTGGACCACTCAATTAGATTCAAGAAGGTCAGGTCTGTGCAATAAAAAATTCAATCTTGAAAAAAGGTTCTGCTTGTCATAAGCCACAGGAACCACTGCACTACAGCTGGTATAGGGTTACAGAGTTCTTAACCCCTCAACAACAGTTGCACTTCAACAAGAAAGGGTGTCAATCTATGTGACCACACTAGCAGAACAAGGAGGAAAAAAAATAGGAGAGGTGGTCTGAATATACAGTATGAAATAAAATAAAAAAGAAACCATGAGTCAGATACCATTGCCACGCCAATCCTTTGTCCCACGTTTCCCTTCCAGCAGATAATTGCAACCCGTATAACAGCCATCACCTCAGGCTTTTGTGGCCGTGCATTGGAATGTTCCTCTGCCTTGGAATGTTCTTTCTTCCAGAAGCACCGTTGCTCTAGAAAAAAAAATGTCCACGTCGCCATAAACTGTTACAGACAGTGGATATTAAAAATAGAAAAGTGTAAAGTGTAGAATTTTAGTTCCCAATGGTTTTGCTGTAGCAGTATTTTAGATTTTTCATCTGCCCCACACTATTTTTATTCTTTTTAAAGAAAGAATCTTGCACTTTGACTGGAAAATGCTGTATATTTGAGAGGAATGAAACGTAGTGTACTGTTTTGAATAGGAACCTATATATTTGAAAGATACTGTATTTAAAAAAAGAGGTAAAATGTGGTGTATCATAAAAAGTGTGCACTACAATATATTTTCAAATGCATTCATATTTTATTGAAAAAAACTTCAGGCGAAATAAAAATTCTTTACTTGGCCCAGAAAAATGGCGGTTGTAACTTAAACATGTATTAACACAATGTTTGCATTTTCTCACTGCATTTTAATCTTTTTTCAAATAAACAAAAGAGGTTCCCACGCAATTTTAGTTATTGTAAAATTCAATGACTTTATTGTAATATTTATTTTGCAGAGACAAAATTGCCAGAAGTTTTCAAGGGATAATAACTTGCTGAAATACATTCATAGCATTTTTTCACCTGAAATACGTTCAGTTATACTTTGTGTTCTTTGTCAATTAGATTTTTAAAATCCATTTTCTATACATGAGCCATTCCTTATTTTGGAAGACTCAGACAAACCATTGATGTTCAATTTCAGTTCTATAATTGCCCATCCTCAAGGTGATACAGTAAGATCTAATAACAACAAATGTGTGGGGACTTCAGAAAAATTTTGTTACTGTATAACAATAATTTGTTTTTGGATTTTCATAATTTTTGACTGATGGGAAGATTTGTAAAAATGTAAACCCATATATATTCAAGATCTCCTTTTTGTGGCCTTTTCAGATGTTTTCAGTTATAAAAAAAACTGATCTTCAAAAAGAAATTCAAATGGTAATAAAAATCTACTCTGTATAACAGAGGTATAAAAACTACCTCTTTTTGTTGAATAAGTTTTTCTCAGCAATCTCTGCACTGATTTATGGGGATGGATGTTCCAAAAAAGTTTACAATTTTTAAGCATCAGTAGGGTTTCTCATGCATAAGCCCCTTTTAACATGAGTTTTGCTGAGTTCATGTTTTTCACTACCCCTCCCCCTCTTTCCTTTCCTGAACTAGGAAAAAAATTTTGACAGAGAGGATATTATGTTCAGGTGAATTTTGAAGAATTTTTGTCCCTGATTCCCCCCTATGTCCAAAGAACAAGTCTCAGTCACATTCTGACTGGGAAATTTGAGTCTGTGCCTGCCTTCATTGGAAGTTTCATCTAAAAAAATCTCAACAAGTTCATCAAAAAAAGTTGTTACACTGAAATTGACAATAAGTTTGTTGTAATGAGATTTTTTTATAGCATGTACCCTATAGGATTTCTGCCAGCTGGACTTGGAAAAAAGTTTGTTATGCTGCTGAAAAATTTGCTGTAACAGTATTTGTTGTAATGAGATAAGCGTTACTGTAATATGATGTAGGAACCACCTGCAAAAGTGGGTCGGAATGCGCCCTGCTCCTGCTGGTAGCTTATTGTATACAGGATATACAATATAACAAGGTAGAAAACAAAAACGAAGAGAAGTAACATAGGGCTTCACTTCCTTCAGTGAGTGATGCTTGATGGTTCTTTGTTGTTGTTGTTTTTTTTTCTCGGTTCGCCAGGGTTTTCCTCTGCGGACAGCACCTGGCTTCCGGTCAATGAGAACTACGGCGCCATCAACGTGGCGGCCCAGGAACAGGAGAGCCTGTTGGACTCCCATCTCAAGATTGATCGGATGCTGCTGGCGGTGCGGAAAACTGACGCCGTCCGCTTCGGCTCCATCGTCTTTCCGGATGAGTTGATAGCAACTGACACACTGGTGTTTTTCAGGTACTGTACTAGTGAACTGTAGCATATAATTTGCAATGTTATCTGTGCTGAAGTTACGAGTGTGAAACGGAAAGTATTGGGTCTTGGCCCTTGGGAAACGGATTCATTTTTTTTGCTGATGTAGAAAAATTAGCAATCGAAATTTATATGCAAGTTACTTCATTTTATAGTGAATTTTAATGTTTGCCAATTTTCAAGAATTGTTTAATTACCTTAAATAAAAGTTATCCTGAGGTGGGGAGGGGGTGGCATTGTGTATGTTCATATTGGCATCATTATAGGACAGGGACAAAGTAAAAATTCCAAAATATACATTGAAATCATTCTACAGTAGAATTGTTACAATAAGTGTCATCATAACAAATTAGTGTTTACAAAAATTTCACTTTTGGGTCATCCCTGCCCAATAGTCACAATGTTGAGTTCTTTATAAATAACGTTTTGTTATAACAAAGCTATTTCCCTGGTTCCAATGCCTTTGCTGCACTGTACAGCATATAAAAACTTCCTGCAGTAGACCAATGTTACAGCAGCTGGAATAACAGGTATAAAATACCTCATCTCTTGGCAAACAAATACTGTATATTCTCATAAAAGTTGGGTGACTAAAGGTAAAGAAGAGGTCCTGAAATTTGGTCGGTCCTTGAAGTAGAATGCGACAAGACTAGTTGAAAAGACTTTGACTGTTCCTTTATGGGAACCCTGTTCAAAGTCCTAATCCATTGGAAGCCTTAGTAGTCACAAGAAGCAGTGGCTCTTCGAATCTTGATACTGCCCCAGGGTGAGTAAAGAAATATACTGCAATTGATTAAAAAAGCTAATTTTCTGAGGTCAAAATTGCAGTACCACGTGTTTTAGTTAATCTTCAAGAAATTCCGAACGCACATTTCTAGATTATGCATTCCCAAAATGCTCTTTACAGAGCCCTCACGGCTAATTCTCCATGTGAAAAGAGAGGATTCCTTGACTCCCTTCAGCAGAAATACAGTTTATGTAAGAAAAAATGGAATCGACTGCAGAGTATAGATTCAGAGAAAAATCAGCAAGGTATTCAAAGTGGAAGCCGCTGAAAAGGGCCATTTATAATCGTTGGAAGAAAAAATAAAATAATGCCTACATTCTTTGTAGTAGGCTCTGCTAAGAAAATTAATGTGATCAGAGAAGGGCTTCTTAAGGGCTAGTGAGAAATACCTCCATGATGTATGAAACGGTTAATAAACTCTGTATAAGAAGTCCTTCATACTCTTAAATTGTTCAGAATAATCGAACTAACATTGGATTTCTCATTTTTTTCAGCTCAATTGTGCAGACAAGCAGCCTTCTTCTGGAACCACATCAAGGCATTGTGATAGAATATGAGATGTGAAAAATCTGATGCAGTTTGAAAAGACACGGAGGCTAACAAAATCGAGCACAAAAATAAATACACAAAGTTTGCACAGACAAAAGCAAGTTTTGTTGTTTCTTCCAGATCTCCTTACAAAGATTTCCGACGTTCACTTGAAAAAAAAATTGCTCGTTCTGTTCTGTTTGAGGCTACGCCTTAGTCTTACCGAACCTTATGCTCGAAAATTTCGTGTCAATGCTATAGCTGAGCGTTCTGTGTTATTCTTTCGGTCCCGAAGAGAAGCTTTATGTGTCATTAACATACCTCTCGAGTCAAGGCCTGCTGGGGTAGTGAGAACTGAACAAGAAAACCAAATTCCTCTCAAGTTTTTCCCCGCCCAACGACATCCAGACAGAAAGGTTCGCCTTTGTTTTTTTTTTCAGTACTCGTTCTCCTCCTCTCCTTCTTCAGTCGAATCAATCCCCACCTCTTCATAGTCCTTCTCCAAGGCGGCCAAATCCTCGCGAGCCTCAGAAAACTCGCCTTCTTCCATGCCTTCACCCACGTACCAGTGAACAAAGGCACGTTTGGCGTACATCAGGTCAAACTTGTGATCGAGTCTGGCCCAGGCCTCGGCAATGGCAGTAGTGTTGGACAACATGCACACGGCTCGCTGCACTTTGGCCAAATCGCCGCCGGGCACGACTGTGGGCGGCTGGTAGTTGATGCCGACTTTAAAGCCTGTGGGGCACCAGTCAACGAACTGGATCGTGCGCTTGGTCTTGATGGCGGCAATGGCGGCGTTCACGTCCTTAGGAACAACGTCGCCGCGATACAGCATGCAACAAGCCATGTATTTACCTGCGGAAAACAACAGACCATAGGCTGTCAAATACACCAGTATTTACCACGTAAACAACACGCACCCCGCTTTTCTGAGAAATTGTTGTTGTTGCATTCAAAAATTCCCCTGAAGCACAGTCGAAATTAGTGCCAGCTCATACTTGCAAACCATTTTTTCTCTCTCAACATTTGAAAAACATACAGAAATTATTTCTGGTTACCGCAATTAGCATAAGAGGAACTTTTGGAGAAAATTGAAAATCGAGAGTTTTGATACGACATGCAATTCAAAGGGAAACTTTTTTGTGTACTCAACTTCCGGAGGAATAAAAAAATACATAACCCCTAACCAGTTTGCATTTTAAAAAACGATAAGAAGCAAACCTATTTTTCATGCGCAATACTTTTTCTTAATTTTTAATTTTGACCTGGACACAGTTTTCTTGTGCACTGATATTTTAGACAATACGGTCCATCTCCAAAATTTAACAAAGGGAATTTAAAGATGAAATACCCCACTACCCCAGTCATTATCTGCACATTTCTTCTGAAACTTTATTGTTAGGCTATCAAGTTTTAAAAGTATTTTATATTTTCGAAAATTGAAACAATCGTAATTTACGATTACTATATTATAATGCGACAAGGCAACGCCACACTCGAGGGACTAAAATACTTGAACTGACCGAAAAAATGCATGCAGTGTTCTGGCAACACTCATCATCACTGCCACTTTTCATTTCCTAACACCTGTACTGTACGACAAACTTATCAACTCTATCAAACTCGACTCTCCATGAAACGATTTTAATTCATCTACAACGATTTTTTTCCGCATGAGAAATTTTTTTTCTCTATCCATCTCATAAGGGCTCTCTACAACGAAATTCTCTCGGACAGGCATTTTATCCTGATCCCGTGAATTATGTAGAGAAAAAATCTGTAATATAAACCCTCTTCTACTCATCCCAGACAAACAAAGCCAACCGATCCAGAAAGGTTTCAAAGGTAATGTACCTCTTAAAGGATATCATCAGTTGTCCCACACACAAATTTCCCTAGGCGTCTCACACAATTACTTCGTCCAAAATTTACCTCCACAATATAACTGTACTAATAAAACAAAATATCTTTTGGTTCGGGAAAAACCTGACGTGGAAAAGTGTAAGTACAACGATTCTATGGCAATTCATTTTCTGGGCCTCGTCTGAGTTTCATTTCAAAGATTTCAAGACGCATTTGGTAAAGTGGAACACAACTTTACTCAATCTTTCGTCCTCCTATTTCTCAAGTCATCAAAAATGACCTAGTAGAAACTTCTGAATATGAAAGCAACAGGTTTCAATAATCCCGGAATTTCTCGCACACTTGGTGTCAAGCAACGCTATTGCGTACGACCGCGATGAGAGATTCTGTAAAAACTACAATAAATTGAAGAATGAAAAAAAAAAAATCGAGACTCACCATGACGAGGGTCGCACTTGACCATTTGGTTGGACGGTTCAAAGCAAGCATTCGTGATTTCAGAAACAGACAGCTGCTCATGGTAGGCCTTTTCAGCCGAGATGATCGGGGCGTAAGTGGCCAACGGGAAATGAATTCGTGGATACGGAACCAGGTTGGTCTGGAATTCGGTCAAATCCACGTTCAAAGCCCCGTCAAAGCGCAAAGACGCAGTGATGGATGACACAACTTGAGCGATCAGGCGGTTGAGGTTAGTGTAGGACGGTCGTTCTATGTCCAAATTGCGGCGGCAGATGTCGTAAATGGCCTCGTTGTCCACCATGAAAGCGCAATCCGAATGCTCCAGAGTAGTGTGAGTAGTGAGGATGGAATTGTAGGGTTCCACCACGGCTGTGGATACTTGCGGGGCCGGATAGATGGAAAACTCCAGCTTAGACTTCTTTCCGTAATCGACAGACAGGCGTTCCATGAGCAGCGAGGTGAAACCGGATCCAGTACCACCACCGAATGAGTGAAAAATCAAAAATCCTTGAAGTCCAGTGCATTGGTCAGCCAGTTTCCTGATCCTATCCAGAACCAAGTCCACGATTTCTTTCCCGATCGTGTAGTGTCCACGGGCATAGTTGTTGGCGGCATCTTCCTTGCCAGTTATCAGCTGTTCAGGATGGAATAACTGCCGGTAAGTCCCGGTCCTGACTTCGTCTGAAAATTAAAAATGAAATTATGAGTCATAATTATTAATACAAAGCTTATTTAAGTTCCGGACTCGTTAATCCGTCGTGCTGTTTACTTGACCCGTTTAAACAGAAGTCGTGTAGGTGAGGCGTACTAGTCGTCGTCTGTTTTTAAAAACACTAACACAGAAGATCTGCTGATACAATGACGGAATTAATCTCTCCCAAGATGGAAAACATTTCTACATGCAAAATATAATCCAACCTTTGGCTCAGAGAAATTGGGAAAAATTATTAAAAATACTTCGAATACAGTACCACAGAAGACTGTCAGTATACTGTACAGTTGAACCTCAATATAGGTTGTTACCTCCTTAAGTCAATTTTTTTTCAAGTCCCTGTCTGAATTCCCTCAGAAACAATGCATTGAAAACTTCCTTAACTCAAAGAGTTTTCCTCTAAAACCTCCATAAGTTGAAGTTTTGAAGCCTTTTGGCTATCATTTTCTTGACCCAGGAAATAAAAAACCGAATTTTATGTGTTTTGAAAGGATGTGGCAGACTAAATTGGGCAAATGAACCCCTGTCTCCAAGTTAAGCATGTCAACCCAATTTAGAAGCAATTTTAGGCCCAGAATATCACCGTTTACAATTAGTGCAATAAGTATTCCATGTTTCCTACAACAAAAATGCTCGGTTAGTTGGTTCCATAACGCAAATAACTGTACAGTATATAACTCAATCAAAATTTTTGGCTGGTCCCTTGAAATTCGACTCAGCAAGGTTAGACTGTCCTTAAAATTTCAATTCCATGGCTTAAAAGAGCTTTCAACTCATACGCACAATTTTAAAGATTATCAGCAGGAGACACGCGAAGATTTGGACCACGCACAAAATGTTCGGAGCCATTTTCCGGACGCGCCGAAGAAAGATGGATAATGCGCAGATCCGCAGGGAAACTCACCAACAACAGACGGCTCCAAGTCAACGAAGACAGCTCTTGGAACGTGTTTGCCAGCCCCTGTTTCACTGAAGAAGGTGTTGAAGCTGTCATCACCTCCTCCAAGAGTCTTGTCGGAAGGCATTTGTCCATCCGGCTGGATGCCATGCTCGAGGCAGTAAAGTTCCCAGCAGGCATTACCAATCTGGACTCCGGCTTGGCCGACATGAACAGAAATGCATTCCCTCTGAAAAGCCAAGACGGTTCACAACTATAAGTCAAAATGACCTGAACTTCGGAATCCACACCAATATTCACCATGATTGAAAGTTAACGAACGTTTGTGTGAAAATTGTAATGTAGGCACAATTAGGGAGATCTCGGGAAGCAACGACCGCGATGGAGAGCTACCACTGTAACGAACGGAGCACTCTTCACAAAGCCAATCGGCTGGATTCCGGAAAAACCTATGCATAAACCATTAAGAACAATTGATGTATCATTCGTGAAAATGGCACAACCTCCATTTCACTCGGCACAAAATCGGACAGCCCATCCAGCTCGCGAGAAAGATCTGCGCCAGGTTGCTGATGCCCCAGGAACATAAGAGGAATTTGAACTGCTGTCGGGGCGGCGCGCGGACTTGTCGGGGCAGCTAGCCAACGTTGAACCTGTCTGCGAAGTGTCAGGCATGCACCGGTACAAAACCAGGATATCCAAATGCGTGAACTGCATCCGACCCGCAGCACAATGTAGTACTGTACTGTGTACTGTATTTACACACTAGCATTGGCACTGCTGTTTCTATTCAAACATTGACTGCAAAATTAGATTTGTGTGACATATTATACCACATAAGATGGCGCTGAAGATTTTTGTTGAAAAAAAATCCAAGGAATTATTAAACTTTATTCTTGAATAACATTTTATGTTAGCATGAAGCTTCAGATTTTATTTGAAAAATGACCAATAAAATAGAAAAGTCATTCATGACACCAATAGTACATCGCCTGGAATTTCTTGAAGCAGTGCTGTACGTACGGTGTCATCTCATGCATGAGGCAAACTTACTACTTGAAAACCAAAAGGAATTTTCAATAATAAAAGGCATTATGCTGTCCCTTCTAATTAGTTTAGTTGAACTATACAGTATTACTGTTTCAAACATTTCAAATGATCCTTCAACAATTGCGTAGACATAAAACCGTAATAGAGGCACCTTGAAAATGTTAGCAAAGAAAAATCACATGATTTCCGTTTTTAATGTGAATTTAAAAGAAGTGCGGCTATATAAATACAGTATAAAAGCACAACACAGTTCAGAATTAATTACAGTTGACCCACATTAAACTGCCCCCAATAAACATTTTGTGAAAATGTTTGTCATAATTAATTCATTGCAAATAAGTTAATTTATTTTGCTCTTGGACCGGGGAAAAGTTCACGCTTTTAAGGCATATAAACACCAAAAAGATTATCCATACAGTATATTACTGTATATTTTCTGCTCCTTATGAAGGACGAAAATTTTTGAAATCTTCGCCATAATCGGACGATTTAAAGGAACCAGAAAATCCTGGCATGATTTATATATATTCTATCATATGGCACTATTTTGAGACAGTTACTGTACTGTCTTTCATCCATGCAGAAAATGGCGCAGTTACGTCATGTTTCATTTATATTACGTAGCGCATGTTGAAGTCCCAGAAGGATCTCCTTATTCTCCTCTACAAAAATGCTAACTAAAAATAAAAAGTCGTTACAGCATGCGGAAGTTCAATCTCATTTCAGCTATTCAGCAAAAACCTGATGATCGATTATTATTTTTTCACATTGTTTCCCTGTTTCGTTCCTGGAAAACGTTTTTAGATTTTTTATCTTGACAACTACTGTAGCTGAAATACTGTACCCGTTCTTATTTTTGGTGGGGAAGGCCGAATAAAGATTTGCCATTTCTCATCACATATGCGAAAATGTTTACTCCCGGGCGTCCACTTTTCAGTATGATCCTCATCATGTGCAATAAAGAAGTCTATGTATTGCATTACCTCGAAGAATTGTCACAATAATTCTTGTTTATTGATTCAACCCAAACGATTGACATGAACGGCACATCACAACAGCAATATACGATTAGTCAAGTATTGTACAGTCAATAGGTCAAGAGCTCAGAACTCGGAAGCGAATGAGGAATGCTTCCTGCATCCGCAGTCCCACGTCCGGCTGCCTTGGCTGGGCTGTCTTCGAGGTCTGCTCACGCTGGGATAGATGTCATCGTAAGAGAATGAGATGCTCATTGTACAGGACAGTTCTGTACTATCCTGTTGATGAAATGCTCTTAGTTTCCAACGTTTTACAAATGTCCGCGCACTGAACACTCTGCATCTTTCCGCCAGTGAATGTTGCTGTGAATTTTAGGTTAGGGAGGACGCGCGAAGTTATTCTCTTCATGAGATTGTTTCTGTCATCAGTGAGTCCAGGCAATTTGATTTTTCCGTTACCAACCTTCACGCAGGTGTGATGATCGATACCTGTGTGCGATTTGATGAAGAAATTAGCTTCGATATTCTAGGATAAGCGGTGCAATATTATTTTTACGTGAAGCTGGAATCGAAAATGACGGCAAAAGTGGATACAGATACACAGAATGGCGCTACTCACGAAAATTTCTCGTGGAGTCAAAGTATATTCGAAGTAGATATGAAGATTACTGTTCCGAAGTCCGTCTTGAAAGGGAAGCAAGTGAAGGTTTCTTTGAAAGGAAGTAATCTTCGGGTGCAGCTCGTCGCTACCCCAGAGACTGAAATATTGGTTGAAGGAGAATTGGAGTACGACATTGGTGGCGAAGATAAATTGTCTTGGACGCTCACCCCGGGAGAGTATATTTTGGTAAGTGGCTGACGAGACTATCCACGACGAATTATCAAGACCAATGCGCTTCCAGCTAACATTGGAGAAACCGTTCAAAGTCCAAAAGATGTGGACACGATTGTTCAAATGGGAAACTGAGTTAGAAGCTCAGAATCTATTAAACGAAGCACCGTTCGAATCGCTGGAAGAAGAAGAGCAGCAAAAAATCCAAGAGCTCATGTGGAAGCAGCGCCAAAAGTATTTGGTACAAGAAGGACTTGCCGGTAAAGAAACCCTTGCAACAACGCAAGATCAGGTGCGCATTTACACTTCTCAATCAGTTTGTGTACATGTTACGATGGGAATATTTTATGCATTCATTTCTTTTCAGAAAACGCTAGCAATGCTGAAAGAAGCCTGGGACAAAGATGGTTCCCCATTTAAAGGGACTCCTTTCAATCCTGACGTTTTACAGTCGATGGGGTCGATTTTTTCCGATAAAGCGTGATGGATTTCCGGGAAGATACGCTTTACCGTGATCTGATTGTTGTTTGGAATGACGTCTTGCCTGTTCGATCCCCTTACTTTACTGTTTCAAGGAGGGCAACGCGTAATTTATTTTTCCGTGCGAAGACTTAATTGTGGTTTAATCATGTTTTATTCATCTCCGGTCAGGTTTCGCTGCGAGTCATTTTATTTGGTCTGTGTGTGGTTGGGTGAATCACTTGAATATTTGACGTGCTTGCGGATGTTGACTACCGTGAAGATGTCGAGTTGAAATGCCAAGTGGCCGAATGCCGCCTGCGATCCAGCGATACGTCGGCCAATCGGTCGAAGAAGAATACGGCATCCGGGATGTGTGGGCAGAAAATCTCGAAGATGAGATGCACAACCTGCGCTCGATCGTGCAGAAATACAAGTTCGTGGCGATGGACACGGAATTTCCGGGCGTCGTTGCTCGACCCATAGGTCATTTTAGGGCGAACACTGACTATCAGGTTTGAATCCTTTCATTTTGGAACTTTGAGGGAAAAAATGCCTGCGTTATAAGATGTATGTGTTTGAAATCTCTTAAGCTGAGGCCTGCTAAGTGTCGAGGTGGTTTCGTTGCATATTATTGAATACACTACTGTGGGATAGCTCTGCGATTCCTGTTCCTGTTACCAGTTGGTCTCCATTTTCGTCAAAATTTATTCGAGTGAACATGAATTACTGTACTTGGATAAGCTCAATCTGAACGTAGATTACTTGTAGATATACTGCATCAGTTTAAATCAACTTCAACATTGCGATTTTGGTCAATTAGTGTACGTCTCGAGATTTTGTTGTTCTAATTCTCAGCTGCAAGAGGTTTTGTAGTATGAGTTCATAAATAGAAAAATGAAATTCCACTGAATTTTGACCCCTAGCATCATGAAACGAGTCAACTTTCTTTGGAACCATCTTAAGTTCATCAGTTACTTCGGAGTGATGATGTAGGTACATTTATTCTGATGAAAGTCATACGAATGAACGTTCCTGTGATTAATTCTGATTTATTTATTCATAAATGGAATAATGAAAGTCGACTGAGTGTTAGCCACTAGCATCATGATACTAGTCAACTTTCCTTCGAAGGATCTCGAGTTTATTTTGCTTCATCAGTTGCTTCGCAAAGATGATGTGGGCGCAGTTATTTTGATAAACGTTCGACTGAGCCTCGAGGATGATCATTTTGTCAAATTATGATGCGAATAAACGTTCCTGCGATTGATTATGTTTTATTGATTTATTTTTATTCGCAGTATCAACTGCTTCGGTGCAATGTGGACATACTTAGAATTATACAAGTTGGACTGAGCTTTTACAATGAGCACGGAGAGCTGGCGCCGGGGGTCTCGACGTTTCAGTTCAACTTCAAGTTCAGCATGACAGACGACATGTTCGCGCAAGATAGTATCGACTTGCTGACCAACTCGGGGATTCAGTTCAAAAAGCACGANTGTTTTCGGCGCCCACGAGCATACGGACGCTTCTAATTGCGACTGTTTCGGATTCGCTTCGGAAATCACGTCATTGGGGGACGGGGGCTTTCGAAAAGTTTTTACGCTGATTCGTTATGAACTTTCGGAGAGCAAGTTCGAAACGTTGTGATCGACGTTTTTCGTTTTTTCCATGTGGTAAATGTGCCTCACTGGAACCCGCGCTTTGAAGAGTACTTGTACTGCACTGAATTCGATGAAAAATCGGGCCAAGTTTTTCGTCTGCATAGAAACCTGTAAAATGATAGTTTTTTGCAAATTACTATTTTCTGGAATTAGTATTACTGCATCGTTGAATTTATAGAAGCTCAAGAGAAGTGTTTTTTTCAGAATCATACATTTTTGACGGGCCAAGAAAATCCATGTAAATGAGTAAACCGTTAATTTTGGCGAGAATTACAAAAAAAATTTAGTTTTCGTGGGGTTTTGTTTATACGATGGTGTGAAATTCGTGGGTTTCGTTTTCGATGGGGAAATTTAAATATTTTATAGAAACTTTTGGAATCGGGGACGGATTTTTTTTTCTTCAAGAAATCGCAGATAACATCCGCAAAAGTCACGGAATATCCCATGAAGAAATGCTATCGAGTGGATTTCAGAAGACGGCAGAATTTTTCTTGTTCAAGAGAGGTTCATTTTAGATATTGAGGAAGTTCACCTTTAATTTTTGTTTTCCTATCGAGAGCCTTGATTTCTTGGGCAGTTTTTGGAATTCCCTTCCACTCTTAATTATCATTTCGTATTGGCTAATTAAGTGAAATGCAAATTCAACGAAAATTTCCATTCTCTCGAGATCATCAGAACTGGATTTTATCAGTAGTTCTCGGATATCGCAAAAGTTTTGCTTAGCCCAAGTATGCTTGTTTTAAATTGAATTTCACCAGCGCAGAAAAAATGTCGCGGCTGCGCAGTTGTATTATTTTCTGTGAATCGTAATCGTAGCTAGATTCGTTTCCCCCCTTTCCTTCTCCTCGCTGAGTGCATTGTGATGTCCGATGAAATCGTCCTATTCTTCCTTTTTTTCTTCTTTTCATTGCAACGATGCGGCGGGAAATAATCTCGATTGTACAAAATTATCTCATCTCTATTGAAAGGCCTTTTTGTGGGTGATTTAAATTCGTTCTGTGGACGGACGCGCTTCAGTTTTTTTTTTTTCAACACTTTACGATTGACGATAATCTATCTATGAATGATTAAAATTGTTCGAAGAGTTCGATATATTGGCGGAATAAGCTTATACAGTATTTCCGGAAGATTTATTTACAATGAGACCCCGACCTATGGACAATTCGACTTAGGGACACTTCTCTGAAATTTTCCAAGAAAAAATCAGAACATTTTTTCAACTTTTTTTTATCTTTTGAACAAATCAAGCTACAGTATTTATATTCACAAAAATGAAAAAATATTTCATGATGAATTCACTACTGTATAATTCATAGTTAAAAGCAAGCTGATTTTTTGTTTTGTTTTTTTGCAGAGATTGTTATCATCTGTGCATATTCTAGCAAGACTTATTCTTTTTCTTTCCTTTTTGATACTAAAAGATCACAAGCTCACATTCTGTGTGGTTTTTTTCTGAATTGTTGTTTTCTACAACTTGAAGTTGAGGGAAACAATTTTCATCAAATTTTTTGAGGACTTCTTTCATTTTTGAAAAAAGAATAACCCATTGAATACATTAGCATTGAAGTCTATTGGAAAATTAGACTCGAATTAGGGACATTTCGACATCAGAACACTCTTGATGCACCAATTATGTCCGCATCTCGGGGTCTCTCTGTATTACTGCGTGAAAGAGGAATAAACACGGTTTAATTGAATGCCAGAAATATCGTGGGCTTGGATTTGAACTTTGAAGTGCTAGCATTTTTGAATCATTTTGTCAAAAATGTGTGCTAGGTGTCCGAATTTAATTATGAGTCGGTTAATTGTTCAACTGAAATGCTTTACTCCAAATTGCGCAAGACTACTGAACCTAATCTCAATTTTCAGGATTTTCTTCTTGTAACCTTTTTCTGTTGCTCGCATGAATCTTGAAGAATT